CAGAGTTTTTATATTTAACTCAGAATACACATAGTTATATTGCATATTAGATGCAGTAACTGATAACGTTCTACCTTCCAATATGATTCAAGTATAGACAGATTAAGAAAAGAGAAAGATAAAACCAATATGAATATATTCCTCTAACAACATACAAGTTGGGAGAGAAAATCAAGTGTACATTATCTCCAGGGTAGATGATGAATAGGTCAGAAGAAATTTGCCAAGGAATCCTGATGTTTATCTCCTAGGTTAGCCTGCTACAAAGGAAATATATATCTCAAAGTCTGGTCTAAGGAAAAAATACCACCTCATTGCTCTGTCAAGATATATGACTTTATCAACTTTAATATCTCTCTTAGAAATAAACTTGGGCTCCATTGAACTAAATAAAAACTCTCTCCATGGAGTTCATTCTGATTCATTGCAACTTACAGGACAGAATAGAACTGCCCCTATAGTTTTCTAAGACTGTAAATCTTTGAGGGAGTAGAAAGCCTCATCTTTCTTCCCTGGAAGGGCTGGTGGTTTAGAACTGCTGACCTGTTGTTCAGGAGAGCCATTGTGTGACTCATTATACTACCAGGGTTCCTATTGAATGAAATAGTATTTTAAATTGAGAGAGATAATTCAGTTAGGAGGGCATAGATTAGAGTTATAAAGTAGTTATAAAGCACTAGGTAGCCGTCCCTTAAATAGCATTCTAGCCTTGAGAGCTGTTGCTAAGAGCATTTTATTCCATTTTGCATAAAAGCAGAATCCTATTCTTTGTATAAGGAAGGAACTGACAAAACATACTTTATTGTTATGGAGATATATAGGTTGTCATTTTAGAAATGGCCTTAGTGATAGCCATTAAGCCTCGTTGCATTTCTTAATGTTTCTGTGGTTCTATCATAATTTGAAATCCTGACATTAGGAGAGTATTTATAGAGTTAATACATTCCAGCTCTCATCTGGGTCCATCTTTCTTTAGATTTCCTGCCCAGTACATAGAAAAAGCCCATTTGGAATTTGAGAAAATATCCAGAGACTGCTTCGAAAAGCTATCCTCTTCCTAAATTCATACTTTTTTTATTAACAGATGTAAATTTGGAAGGGAAATACCATATATATAAGCCATTTGGGAGTATTCTGCCTCTAAGGATGACTTACACTGGCCATTTGAATGGCATGGAGGCTGAGAGCACGGACTTAAAACTCATCTGTGCTCTAGCGCTGAATCATTCTTTGATGAAATCTGCATGAGTTTATGGTAATCACATACATGTGGATGAAGTAAGTGACCTCATTGGCAGTTACCTACAGTGTCAAGTGCTATTGGCAAATGCCCCAAAATTGATTGACACACATCCTATGGAACTGGAGTTAATTAATATGTCTACCAATTCTCAAATGCATTACAGGAAAAAGAAAATCCATTTAATACAGCAACCAATGATATTCTGTGTGGTCAGAAGGCAGTCAGTCACGCTACAGCAAGAGTAGATGTGGGGATACGGTTTTAAGAGTGTGGATACCCCTATTACAATGCTAGGAGTCTAAAAGAGGTTCATTTTCATAATCACTAGATAATAATAGGGGTTATTTAGAAAACTGTGCTCTCATTACTTAAGAACATCACTGAATTTCCTACATGATAGATTCCAAAATGAAGAAAGGAAGACTGGTTTACTTCATAGGCAACATCCTTACTGAAATGGCAATCTGCCATCTGAGATGGTTAGCCCATACTGCCATTTTCTAGTAGTGGCGTTTCAAATACCTTGGGACCTGATGTCTAAAAATGAATTATTTTAAAGAAACTTCCCTGCAAATAAAATATTTGTAGGTTAAAATACCCATGAAATTCACGATAAGAATAAAAAGCAAATTACTCTTTCCCCTATGCTATTCATATAGCATAGGGAATGTAATAATGAAGAATGCATGCTATTTCTAAACCAGGATTCAGGAGAAAGATGTATGTATCCTTATTGGATTTGAAAAGTCATCAACACAAACATGGTTTCTTCCCAGATGGTTATTGTATTTCTGTTCTTTTGAAACTTCCCACATTTGTCCTTCCTTTATTTGCAGGATGGACCATGCATTTTTCTCAACTTCAGAAAACAAAACAAAACAATTTAAAATCAAAGGGTAGTGCTTTAAGTACCACTGTAGAGCAACTTAAAGAAGGTTCTGTCTGAAGGCCATTTAAGAATTGAATATTAAATTTGATGCAGTAAATTATCCTGATCATATACCTACCAGAATCTCCTAGACTGAGCGTCTAGACTACTCTAATTTCCCCCTAAGCTGTTGCATAACCATCTTCCTTCTGACCTACTGAAGAGTCTGGAGCAGTATTTCTGAATCTATCGTTGTCAGGCAATTCAAGATTACTGAGCTTTTAAAAGAGGATCATTCTCCAAGGCAACATGTCTCAGGAATACACATGTGTCCCAGATTGTGCTCTCAAAGGGGCTGAGGCAGGAAGATTTATACATTTATTATTTGAATTGATGAGATCTTTGGGTAAACATCTGGTCTCAGCACCTCCTCTTCTCCACCTTTTCACCTTTAAGGCAGAAACACATCAACTGATAAAGGGGAGAAGATGTGCTGCTAACTACAATAGATAGCGACTATGAAACACAAAACAAAAATACAAACAAAGAAATTTTAACTTTTTTGAAAACTCATAAAAATCCAGTATCAGCATATATCACTTTAATTTAAATGTCCATCAAGTTACCTTAAATTTTGGATCTAGAGATGAGAGATTTAAGTACATAACCACCCAGGAACAAACAGAGCTCAGAATCAGTCATTTACAATCACTGAAAAATAAAGTGAAGAAGTGAGACTTCGTCACAAGCATGAAAGCAAGCAATGGCTTTCAGTCTGAGATGCAGGTTGGCATGTTAAAGACACCCCAGCGCGTACTGTCAGGCAATGTTTAATTCCACACGGGACATTTCAGGGGGGCTTGTTTTCATTATTATTTTCTAGATTAGAAAGTGGGACACAGAGAAACGGACTAACTTGCTGCCCTCTAGTAAAGATAGGCCATGCAGTCAGAGGCCAGAGGGTATGTTTTTAATCATCCTGGAATTAGAACTCCCTGTGTTTCTATTGGAATCAAAGTCAGTGAGTCATGGTTAAGATCATTAGAAATCATTTGGAGGTAATAATTCAACCTCACGTTTAAAAGATATGGACACTGAAGATCAAAGAAGTTTTGTTTAGTGTCCTCAAACACATTATGAAGCAGATTCTCAGAGAGGTTAAGTAGTTTTTCCAATGCTTCATGGTTTTCACCCTTCTTTACCTATCTGAATGGAGCGTGGGACCTGCATACAACAATCAGGAGGTTCTAAAGCGAGAGCAGAGGCCAGCTGTGACACCCCAGTCCATGTGCTTTCCACTAACTTCTGCTGGAAGCTTAGAGATCTGGAGTTCTTGGCCCCGCACAAAACAGCGTGACCCTGGCTGATAGAAAAAGTGTGATGTGATGTGAAAGGGGTTCCCTAGAGCTATCTCCCGAATTCACAAGAGTGGGACAACCACCCTGGGCCCATTTTAGATTTTTCTTAGAACTGTCAAAATAGCTTAATAAAAAAGTATAAAGTCTCATGTCCATGAATATAATCCCCCCTTTCATCAACATCATCCAGAGTGTGTAAGCGGATCTTTCTTTCCTAGAGGTTTCCTTGTGTCTAAGGCTCTTAGAGATGTGAGAAAGCATACTGCACATGCTCACATGGGAGAGAAGGAAGGATGCTGAAGGAGTGGGGTTCAACCAGAGAAGGGCCGGACCTAACCTGGCAAAACCTGGACTAAAGGTCTTATACTTCTCAGACTTGTAAGAAAATTAAAAAATATGTATCATCTCTCTATACATATATATGTGTATGTATTTATCACTCAATCCAGAAATCGCATAGTCACTCAGAGTCCCTAAAGCTCCTCCTTATACAAAGGAGGCCCAATACAAACTCTTTCGGTCACCTTAAGAAAACCTTTTTGAATGAGAGCCTAGAGTTCACATCGTAAAGACATGGCTAACCTATAAAATGACCCTACAGAGCAGCGGAGAACTGCATCTCTGGGTTTCCGAGGCAACGAATCTTTTGGGGGAGCAGAAAACTCTTCTTTCTCCAGCTGACTGCTCGTGGGTACAAACTGCTGATGTTGAACTTATTTGGCCATCCAACGTGTAATCCAAGATGCCACCAGGCAAATCCTGTACTTATTAGTAAGGACTCCTGAGTTCAGTTTGTAAGAAAATGATGTAAAAAACAATCTTCTTAGCACATGAAGGCTTTCATTTTGCTTATGTTTTGTGTCAAAAGTATGAAAGAATTTATAACTGAAGGATAGTAATAAATGCAATGCACTAAAACCAATTTTAATACTAGGGATTTTTTCATCGATTGTTTCCCTTAACATTACTTTTACTAATGTAGGAATATAACATTTATGAAGCAGACTCCTCCCCCTCCCCACTTTTGCTTACTAACTTAAAATAGCAAAGACATAAAAGCTAAAGGGAACTGAGCAAGCAGACACGTGTGAATCATTGGGGTAAACGCACGATCAGCTCAGTGTGTACATGTATGGCGGTATTCCTTAATCCCCAGGCAGAAGGAAACAACTGGGGTGGCAGGCGCTTCTGGCTGGGGATGGGGATGGCGCGGGGAGCTGGCAGTGTACAATGAAGGAGAACACAGTGCGTATTCAGCCTGCTGACATCTGCTGCACATGCAGAATGGATTGGACTCTGTCGTCCAGGGTGAAAGCAAATGCTTCCTTCCTTCCTCCTGGTCTGCAGTTATTATTGAGTGAGGGCCTCAGTCTTTTTGCATTCAAAAGTTAAAATTAATAACAGCATCTGAATTTGAAGTAGGTGCCACTGAAGTGAGGAGCAGAACTTAAATGAGCTAGAGACATTAATAACGAAGCATTGGAATAGGCAGAGTCGTGGACAAATGCCATTTCTCAAAAGCCAGTTTTACCTCAGGATGATGTCCAATTTCAATGTAGGTGCAAATTGGATGGAAAGCCCCGGTTCCACAGGCGTACAAGTGAGTTTGATTAAAAGCCTTAAGCACTTTGATGAAATTAGCACATTCTTTCTGTAAGAAAAAAAGAAAAAAGAAAACAAGTGATTTCTAGTGGTCAGCTTGAATGAGGAATCCTCGAGGGTTCTCGGCATGCTTGGTCAGATTTATTTTGTTTGCTTTCACTGAATTTTCATTTATTGTATTGTATAATTTTTCTCAATATATTACTTGAAAATATTAAAGTTTCATTCTTTTTTTTAAAATCAGTTTATTGAGGCTCATACAATTCATCACAATACATAGATCAATTGTGTAAAGAACATCTATACATTTGTTGCCCTCATTGTTCCCAAAATTCACTTTCCTCTTGGGTTCCCGGAATCAGCTCATTTTCCTTTTTTCCCCTCCCCTCTCCCCCACGTACCCTTGATAATTTATAAATTATTATTGTATCTTATATTACACTACCCAGCGTCTCCCTTCACCCACCCCTCTGCTGCCCGTTATATGTAGTTATATGTAGGAGGTTATATGTAGCTCCCTGTGATCAATTCCCCCTTTCTACACCCCCCTTCCCTCCTGGTTTCGCCACTGTCACCTCTGGTCCTGAGAGGTTCATCTGTCCTAGATTCCCTGCGTTTCCAATTCCCATCTGTACCGCTGTGCATCATCTGGTCTAACCAGGTCTGCAAGGCAGAATTGGGGTCCTGGTAGTTGGGGGGAGGAAGCGTTTAAGAATTAGAGGAAGGTTGTGGGTTTCATTATTGCTATACTGTATCCTAAGTGGCTCATCTCCCCACTACTCCTCTGCAAGGTATGTCCAGTTGTCTAGAGATGGGCATTGGGTCTCCATCACGCGCCACCCTCATTGACGAGGATATGATCCCCCCACCCACCTGCTGCCTTTGAAGTTTGAAGCCTGGTCCCTTTGGCCCTTCATGGTCACACGTTGGTGTGCTGCTTCCATGTGGGCTTTGTTGCTTCAGGGCTAGATGGCCACTTGTTTACTTTCAAGCCTTTAAGTCCCCAGACGCTATAGATCTCGATAGCAGGGCACCATCAGCCTTCTTTACCACACTTACTTATGCACACATTTGTCTTCAGCGTTTATGTGTGGAAGGTGGTCACACAATGATGGTTTTTGTTCTTTGGTGTCTGCTGCCTGTTTCCTTCAACACCTCGTGTTCGCACAGGCTCATGTGCTTCTTCTCTGTGGACTTTGTTGTTTCCGAGCTAGATGGCTGCTTGTTTGCCTACAAGCCTTTAAGACCCCAGACGCTATATCTTTTGATAGCTGGGCACCATCAGCCTTCTTCACCACATTTTCTTATGCACACATCTGTCTTCAGCGATCATGTCGCGAAGGTAGATATCATGAAATGACCATTTAGCTGAGCAAGGTGCTCTTGTATTAGGGGAGTGCGCATGAGGAGGCCCAATGTCCACCTTCCACCCTACCACCAAACCTATAATTATTTGTACCTAGGTCTGTTCCCCCCTTAATCTTAAATACATTTACATATGTACATGTCTATATGTAAAGTTTCATTCTTTGGGGCCCAACTATACTATGCCCCTTCAAAAGTCTTTCATTAAAATTTTTCTAATTTATTTATCAAAAGGAGGAAGACAATTAGAGATAGTCAAAAATCACTAATGACTTTTCCAGAAATGAGGTGCAGCAATGTAGTGAACTAATTGCAGAAAAAGGCAATGGCAAACATTTCCCTGAAAAAAATAAGCTTTGAGTTTACTTTCAGAAAAATAGCAATAAAAGCTAATGCTATCATTAGCAACCCATAATGATAAGCCACTGATTTTGAGCTTAGAGGATGTTGCTAATGACCTCTTACCACCCTAAGGAGGCAGACTCACCTCTGGCTAAAAAGGTCACTTAAGCCTCTAACACAAGCTGTATCTATTTAAATACGATAGGGAAGGCCTTCAAGTTAGGGATCAGGGTCTTCAGAAGGGCCTTTTGTAGAGTTCTATAAGTAGTAAACATGGTCAGGTGGTTCATGAACTTTTTAAATTCATACTTAGACCTCGTCTGTTCAGTAAACATGGACCTTAAGTAAAAAAGAATTCTGAAGAGAACCTTCTAGCCAAGTGTCTTTGCTATTCATGGAAGTTAGGACACGGGTATGTCACTTTAGTCACCGAAGAAACACAGCGAATGGAGGCATGTATGTTCTTCTTATGCATTCTACTGAAGCTATTGATCTTGTGAAAGAACATGTCCTCCTATTTTTTTAAAAAAAAGGAAATTTAGACTTGCATTGCCAACTGAGGATATATTAGGGAGGGGAGTACCAAATTCCCAGAATATTAAATGGACATTTACTAAAATATCAAGAACCAGACACAAATTCCTTTCTTAAAAAATTAAATAGATGAATCTATATGAGTAGGAATTGCCTTTATAGCAATGGATTTGGTTTTGGTCTATATCCAAATTGTTAAAAGAAAACAAGGAAAAAGACCTCTCATTATGCTTCCAATGAAACAGTATGGTTTGTTAATCTTGTAGCCAAATTTAATAAGAGAAACAATGAGGAGAAAATATGAGTATCATCTATTGAAATAAATATTCAAATATTTATATGTGAATTAATACAAACTGCATTGAAAAGTATTTTTTTAATTATTTCGTTTTTGTCTATAATAATTTGGGATTAAGAATCAGATATACAACTATAAATGTTAAGATCAAAAGCAGAGCGTCATGAAAGCAAGGCTCCAACAATATAAAAGACCACATTGATCCTGGCACCTCTAAACGTGCTTGTTGAACTTGCCGTTGGTCTTTAGTACAGGTGACTGCATGGGAGCACCCTGAGGTCATGTGGGCTGATCAAGTCGAGGTTTCAATGGAGGATTCATTTTCAATCACCTTTGTATTCCGTATCTGCGGCTGGTTCTTTTGGTGGGAACAATTTTTCCCCCATAAAATGAACAGCAAATTTGAGCAGAATATTTAACATTTAAATTCAAATAGTTACTATCCATCATTGTTGATTTTTCTAGATAGAAACCTGTGATGCTTTTGAATGTATTGTATTAGCTGTCAACTAAACCTGTTTAAGGCAAAAATAAATAATAAATCTAAGTACCATTCCTTATGCTTTCTTAACATATGCCAATTTGTTTTCAAGGTAACGCAAATAAGCTTGTATTTTCTTCCACTGTTTCGCTACGTACTGAATCTTTCTTTTGTATGTATTATATATGGAATTAAATTATGAACTCAACTTATTTTGCAAGCTGCTAGGAAGAAAATATCATAACTTTAAAGGTATATGCAATGCTTGGGTCCGTGCTTCACTTTGAACAGGATATTAGGCAAAACATCCACAGCTCTTAGCAACAAGCTAACAATTCTGCAACAATCCCCCTACTGTCCCCAAGAGCACAGGTCATGAACACCAAGGTGGAGGAAAGAGGTTGTGGAGAGGGAAACATCTGAAAAACTCATTGGCAAAGAGGCATTCGTGTCTATTACCCACAGGACTTATTTCTACTTTCAGAATGATTTAGTCATGTGTAGTGAAGCCATTTTCAGGAAAATGTTTATGGCATCTCTTCCTTTGAAACATGTAGGTGGCCGCATACTCTGCTTTTATATAAAGACAGCCATCCCTAATTGTGGACTCAATATTATAGTACTAAAGATTGTAAATAACCAGTTTAAGCACCATATGTTGAGACCAAGAAATTGGCTGTGCACATATTGGTAAGAAAGCGAACATTCTAATAAATAACAGTGGCAGGCCCAGATGGGTGTCTTGTTCATTTGAGAAAAGAACAGGCGTTCATTCTGCATGCCTTACTTTTGAGGATATGTATGCAATTTTGCACCTAAAACCAAATTCTCTTGCCATATCCATAACCCCAAGCATAATCTAGACATTTAAGTAGAGGCCTCAGTTATCCACAATACAAAAGGAAGAACATGTTTCCTGAGTATAAATGCTTGTGAACAGGAATGAAGTCTCATTACCTCTGCAACTTTAAAGAACCTTCATACAACAGACTTTCTGAAATCTTTCTCTCTTTTTAAACAAACCCATTGCCATTGAGTCCTAGGGGCTCTACCGACATAGAGATCCACAGCCCCAGAAACCCTAACGGAGCAGACAGCTTGTGGTTTTGAACCACCCGCCTCAAGATTGGCAGTCCAACACGTATCCAACATTGTCTCTAGGGCTCTTAGAATTTGGATAATTTTCACAATTTTCAATGACTTTGACCTCCCATGAAAACTCACAGATTATAATTACTGATAGAAAACCTCTCCAAGATTCTAAAATTATGGAATTAGACCAGACTGAAGATCCTAAATTTGATTTGTGCTATTTTAGCTGGCATAGAAAAGTCAGTATAGTTGTATCATAGGTGAACTATACTATTATAGAGCTACTGGAAAAATATCAACCACAGGACAATAACTGTGAAAGCCGGCACAGGACTCAATTGAAAGTGCTGATAATGGAGTCTACCTGAGCTACAAAGCATCTGGACTCACCCTATTGCCCCAAGGCCTGGAATGATCCCTGATCCCGTTCATTTCCCCAATGTCTCTCCCCATTGGCAGTGGGTTGAATTGTTGCCATACCTTTGGGGTTAGCTCAATATGATTTTGAAAGTAAAGGTTGATGCAAATAGAATTGGGGCTTATAGTGTGTTAAAACACTTGAATTGAAACAAAGGAATTGAAGGAAATACTTTCAAAATAGGTTAAAAATAGCTGAGAGGAGCCTCCTTACCAACAATGGAGGAGGAAACTCGGATTTAAACGAACTGGAGAGAGGAACCAAACACTTGAAAGAGATAGTGTTAGTAAAGATGTGTCCTGAAAGAGAAAACCTCCATAAAAGATGTCCATCCTGCCAGTCATGGGGCTTCATTCGCCTGCTTGTTACTGCCAAGGTTTTTGCGTGTTCCAAGCCAGGATATTCATTTTATTGGGAAGAAGCTTCGACATCCCTCTGAAAACGCAGGAAGCGTGGCAGAAAAAGGAAACACACTTCACACATTTCTGCTCCAGGGAGACAGAAGAAGAGTGTTTCTGA